CCCCTGCTGGCAGCCGCCCTCTTTCCCCGCTGCTGATGCCCTGGCCCGCGGGGGTAGGAAGCCCCCCGGCAGCAGCCCGGCTCTCCTCAGAGCTGGTGCGAGGACCCCAAGTGCTGCTGGCGCAGGGGGGCCAGGGCTGTCTGCTGCGGGCTCCCCGAGCTGGGGTTTCAATGCCGTAACTTGGAGAGGGCTGGGGAGCAGAGCTCCCCTCGCGTTCTGTCAGAGCGGGTGCCCAGCACCTGGCTGCTTCTGGAGGCTTTAGGCTGGAGTAAATAATGGAAAGGAAAAATAGCAAATCCCATAATCTCCTGGGTCTCTTGCCCTTCCCTGTGTTACAAAGGGAGCTTCTACAGAAACAACTATCTTCTTTTTTTTCTCTATCAGGTGTAAATCCAACTGTTTTGCTAAGAATAAGTCAATAAAGTACTTTCACGCACGTGAGCTCCAAGTTAAACGTGTCTTTAAAACTTGACAAGAGCAGGGGAAAAAAAATCTTGCGCTTTTGGAGTGCTGAATGTGACCGAGCCTAAGGAGGGGCCTTCGCCCAGGAGCGGCTGTTCCCCCTGTGGTCTCTCCCTCCTTAACTGGCTCCCTTCACTCGTTTGTTCCTGCACCCGCTCTCTCTCTGCCTTCTTCCTTTTACTTGGGAATTTTTTGGCTGCTTATTTACCTCAAGTCTGACTTTCTGTGTAGGTTACTAGAAGTTTTGCTCTCAATGCCTGGTATTTCAAAAGGTTACAGAACAGCTGGGGGGTAGCTCGTGTGTGGCAGTGGTTAAGACGTTGACTGGGATCCATAGCATTTCTTTTTAGAAAGGTTCTTATTTCTGGAAGTAAATTAATAGCAACTTTCTAGTGAACCAGTTGTTGCATTTGTGTTATTCCAGCCACTGAGTACCACCTCGGCCTGCTGAAGGCAAAGCTTGCAAAATACAGAGCTCAGTTGCTAGAACCCTCCAAATCCTCAGCTGCTAAAGGAGAAGGTTTCGATGTGATGAAATCTGGAGATGCCCGGGTGGCACTGATCGGTTTTCCTTCTGTGGGTAAGGTCAGTGAGTGTCTGTGTTAACCACGTGGCGTGTGTGTTTCCAGGTTTGTGGTTAGCAGCGGCTGTGAAGCAGATATCCATCCTCTCTTCATCTTTCACCTTCTTGCCATGATGTAACAGAAAATTAGCGTACACTGAGAGCTGAAAGTTAGACCTAGGGGAAACACTCCTTCAGCTTGTGTGCGGTGCCCTGTGGTAACAGCCTGAAACTTGGTCTTGCCCAGGCACAGCACCGCTGAGGAAATAGGTGAGAGTACAGGATTTGCCTTCGTCCAGTGCAAGCGCTGGCTATCCCATCACCGCTTTGGTCCCTGTGCCTGGAACAGCCACAACGTGACTTCTAAAAGCTGAGGAACACTTTGGTGTTGCTTGTTTTGCTGAACGTTTACTGGTGCTTTCATTTGTGTATCTCTAGTGATGCTGATCTCTTGTGTTTCAGTCCACGTTTTTGAGTTTAATGACCTCAACTGCCAGTGAAGCTGCGTCTTACGAGTTCACAACCCTGACGTGTATCCCAGGAGTCATAGAAGTAAGTAGGATTCTCCTCCCTTCAGCACAGTAGTGGTGATAAGAAACCCAGACATGTAAATTTGTCTGTTTACACCAGTTACACTTGTGCTGCCACTGAGAAGCAGTGATATCCAAAGGTCTCTGCTGACTTCTGCTTTAAACTTTAGGAGGTCTTGCATGCTTGCAGTATCAGGTCTTCTGCAACCTGCAGTGCTGATTTAGCACTTCCCTAGGCTACATAACTCTTCAGGATCGACTGCCTGAGCGGGGTTTCATGTGCTGCTGTTCAACTGACCAGAGCAATACGACAATTCTCAACTGAATTTTTTATAACCGCTATTGGCGGCATTGACCAGATGGCTGGAAACCTTGACAGATTTGTTTTTAATGAAGCTTTAAAAGAGGCAATCTGTACTGTGATCAATTTGGAAAGAAAATACAACTACTCCTGTCCTTGAGGAGTTTTATTAGTGGTGGCCTAAGCATCCATCAGTAAAGCAAATGATAAAGGGCATCAAACTGAAAAGTGTCCAAGACTAATGAGAAAATTTGGGTCAGAATTGAAAGCGGAGTTAAATAATGAAAGTAACCGTATTGGTGTTAAAACAAACACAAATACTGTAACACGTCCAAACGCAGCCTTGAGCTGCAGTCAGTCGCTAAAGCCGTTACTGAGGACTTCACTGCAGCAACAGCTTGAAAGCTAATGCCCCTGCGGGTCTGATGAATGAGAATCTTCCGTTATTTCCTGGTACTGTAAGACCTGCAACACATCTGCATAGTTCCAATCCATCTCAGTAAGAGATGATGGCACTTGCTCGTTACAGTGCTTTCTCGTTAAACCAAGAAAGTAAGGTGGTTTTTTTTTCTTTCCGTTTCACCAACTCAGGATAATGCTACTCTTGTACTGTGCTGTTTTCCTGGTGCTTTGTCAAACTGCAATCACATGATGCTTTAGGAGGTCAGGACCTAACGTACCGCAGTATGTAATGTTGAACGCAGCTTCATAGGAAACACTCTGGAGGTTCCCTCAACAAAACAGCCATAAGCTTTGTGCAAAGTTGTCCTGCTCTGTTGGGTTCATTCAGTTCCACTCTCTGCAGGCTTTGGACTCCAGCGCGTGCTTGGGGCTTTCAAGGCAGCTCAGGTGCCTTGCATGAGGCTTTCAACTTTCCATCCTTCTGTTTCCTTTTCAGTACAAAGGAGCCAATATTCAGCTGCTGGATCTGCCTGGAATCATCGAAGGAGCCGCACAAGGTTGGCTGATCTCTGTGTTCGTGTAAAGTAGGGATTTGCCCTCAATACTGTACCTGGGTGTCTCAAACGGTAGCAGGTTTCCTGGGCCAATAGTTGCCACATTGGCTTTCCAGATTTTAGAGTCCTTGATCTTATGTGAGGCACGATTCTTATCCCTGAGCCCACGTAAGTTTCTATATGTAGCAGAAAGATGCTTTTCTGGAGGTGGGAGCCAAAGCAAGCCAGTCACTTTACACCTTCTTGCGTGAGTGTTATCTTGCTCATCTGTTTTCTGGTACAGAGGAAATCTAAAGAAAGATGCTAGAGAGGCGGAGGGGGAAATTACAGCTAAACAGTAACCTCTTTTGACTGATTTCCTGAGTTCCTGCCAGTCCTCTCATGACTCCTGATTCTGGGAAGAGGTGTTGGCTTTGTCCCTGTGCTTCGTCATTGTCCTCGTTGGCTGGTCGTGTCGGAAGATGCCTCATGAGGCTTAGGAAAATCATGTCAGAAGATGCCTTAGGAAGGAAAATCTCCTAATGGTCTCTTCTTGGAGGATCATGGCCTGGTTAATAAGGTCTCTCTCCTTTTTGACCAGAAAGTGTATGTAACCTCTGCACAGGGGCCCTGGGCCCACATCACTGTTCTGGGTAAGTTGTCCCTGCTGCCTGGAGCTGCTACCATTGCACATGTCTGGGGATGTCTGTCCTACTGGCAGAGATGTCATTTCCACCCGTACAGCTGTACTCAGATAGCTTTACACACACTAGTTCATGTAACCTGCGGTGGAGGAGCAGCAGCAAAGAGTATTTGTTAGGGCTTGTGCTGGACATAAGACAGTATGGACGGACCAGATACGCTCGCTCAGGGCCCCTCTGGCAGCTGACTCCAGCCACTACAGCACTGCAGGATCTTTTTCCTTGCTTCCAAGCAGCTGTGCAGGGCAGGAGTCCCCATCTGTCACAGAACTCGTAGCTGGTTTCTCTCCCTGATGTACGGCCATCTCCTCTCTTGTCAGGGAAGGGCAGAGGTCGGCAGGTGATAGCTGTGGCCAGGACAGCAGACGTCGTTATTATGATGCTGGATGCCACGAAGGGTGAAGTACAGAGGTGAGTGCGTGCTTCTGGCCATGTGGAGCTGTGGGGTGGTGGGCCAGGTTCAGGGGTTCCCACACGCCCAGAAAACATGCTAGCTCCCTGAAGTGTTGTGTCCCGTACATGTTGGGGAACCAGTACTTAAGCTATTGAGTATGAGATGGAGGTTGTACTTCATTAGAAGCGTGCTAGCTATCTGGCTTGGGCTTCTCAGCTGAAGGATCATTCCCACAGGATGGCTGTTCAGAGACGGGGACGTCAACCTAGATTTCCACCACAGACTCTGTTGTGCATTAGCTGTTGTAGTGTTGTAGTGTTGTAGCTGTTTAGGTTGTAGTGAAAGCTTATGGCAAGGCTGTATCAATAGTCAAAAAGGAAAGGTTTGGGTGTCACCTGACTGCGCTCAGTCTCAGAGGTACTAATGTGCAGTGTCCCTGCAGGGCCTTGCTGGAGAAAGAACTGGAATCTGTAGGAATCCGGCTGAACAAAAGCAAACCAAATATCTACTTCAAGGTGAGGTTTCCTGGGCTGCTGCAAGCGCAGCTTATGTCTGGCTACCTGCTCAAAGCTGAGGTCGCTGTGTGCTGCCTGTCGCGTTGGACAGACTGAAGGCGGGGTTGTGGATTTTGCAGACTGTTCTTAAGTTGCTTTATTGCCTCCCTGCAGCCGAAGAAGGGTGGAGGTATCTCCTTCAACTCAACTGTCACATTGACTCAGTGCTCTGAGAAGCTGGTGCAGCTCATCCTCCATGAATACAGTATCCTTTCCTAAAATGGGAGACCCTTAAGCCATCAGCAGCTCATGAGTCAAGCGGTACCTGCTGTGGGACAGCCTTGCTATGTCTTTGGTGCTTGCTGGGTTGTCAACAGGCTTTCACAAGCAAGTTCAGCCTGTTGGCTCACAACGGTGTCTAGACGTGTCGGGATTTGGGCCTTGACAATGTTCACCTCAGAAATCTTCAATGCTGAGGTCCTCTTCAGAGAGGATTGTTCCCCTGATGAGTTCATTGATGTGATTGTAGGCAACAGGGTCTACATGCCATGCCTCTACGTGAGTATCCGGAAACAGCCTGCCTGCAGCCGCACCGGGCATCTCCATTCTTTGCTGAAGGAAACACTGGATCTTCCTGTTCCTAAAGCAGTAACGGTTTGGGGTTTAAGAGGCGGAAAGCACAGCTCACCGGGGAGCTTTTTATAAGCTCTGCGAGTGCGGCTGTACTCTGCGTGTGTTCTCTGTGCCCTCTTGTGGCTGGCTGTCGTGGAGCAGCACGAGCTGCGTGTCCTGGTGGCATGGGGTTTGCTCCTACCGTGCAGAGCCTTCGATTCCTATGCTGCAAGCTCTGCGCTTGGGTTTTCACTACTGGTCCCTTGTGCCAGAGGTCGCTTAATGGCAGATACTGGAGAACGTGTTGCGAGTCATCCCAAAGGGAGAACTTTAAAAGGCCCAAACTTGCATTTAGGCTTCTGAATTTCAACAGTTTATTTTACTAAGAGCCTCGGCCTGCCCTCTGGCTGACAGGATCTGTGTTTCTGTTTCAGAGGCTCGAATTACCTTGTTATACCTGCATGTACATGTCTTGCTTCCTTGCAGTGTTACTGAATTGACTTCCTAAAGGGTGTGTTGCTTTTCCTTTGACTTAGGTTTATAACAAGATTGACCAGATATCTATGGAGGAAGTGGATCGCCTTGCTCGGAGACCCCACAGCGTTGTAATCAGGTAGGAGCTTGTCGCGCTGCCTGGTGTGCTGGCCTGGATGGTGTGGTGGTTCATTTCACACCCCTTTCTCCAGCTTCTCACAGGGCTGCCTGCAGCTGCTGGGGTGAGAAGCAGAGCCGCTGTGCAGCTTTTTCCAGGCTTCCTTCCCCTGGAGAGGCAGGCTGCTCGGCTTCTCCACACTGTCTGCAGGCCAGAGTAAGCCTGTCTAGCTTGTTTCCTTAGAAGTGCTGATATATCTGACTGGGGCTTTGCTGCTTCAAAGCTGCTTGCCCTTCTGAAAGCCCTATTTATTTCACCTTGTGTTTTTCCTTTACTGGCCTCATTAAAGACTTTTCCCCTTGTTCCCTAGCACTTTAATAAGACGTTTCACCTTGTTCTCCTGGATCTCTAAGTCACAACAACAGTAAACACTGGTGTTTTGCAGCTGTGGCATGAAACTGAACCTGGACTACTTGCTGGAGAAGCTCTGGGAATACCTGGCGCTTACCTGCATCTACACCAAGAAACGAGGACGTAAGTGACCATTAGCTGAACAGAAGTTTTGAAAGGCACAAAGGGCTGCTGCTCGTCAAAGGCAGACAGGCTGCCAGCGAGGCTTGGATGCCTGGCTGTCAGTGATCTCTTATGTCTTGGAAATGCTGCAATTACACTCTCCCTAACCAGCTTTCAGTTCTTGGAAAATGCTTTCTGTTCCACCTGATCCAGTCATGCATGTATCCTACCACAGCCCTCCTATCCTCTCTGCACTAGAAGAGCTGAATTTTCATAAGACTTTGCATGATGATATAAGGAAATAAAGTCTGCGAGTTCACAGCTTGCTTCCTTATTGTTCACACTCTGTGATGAGCTGTTCAGCCCATCGCTACCCAAAAGAGGTCTCCTGTTCCTTCTCTGAGAGGTTTGGTGATTCCCATGCCAGGCTCCTGAGGCTCGGGAGTGCCTTTGATCCTCCTTTTGCTTTACGATTCACTTGCAGCTTCTCCCAGTGACGAAGGCATGTCTGTAACTTGTTCACGTTTGGTTGTGAACAGCTGTGGCTCTGAACTTGGGTGGATGTGAGGAGATTAAGGAACTTTTTGTGAGCTTGTTAAGCTATGAAATCTTGGGGATTTTACAGAAAACTGCAGAGTGGTTTGGTTTTACTTGAGCAGGTGTGTTTTGACTTGGGTGGTTTTGTTTGTCCTAAGTCAAGTGTTTGGAATGGAGTTGAAGCAGGTGAATTATGAGGAAGCTGTTGACTGTGTGACGTGGGTAACTGTACTTGTGGGTACTGGAGCGTCTACAGAACTGATTTGATGCTTTCACATACCCGGATACCTGTTCAGTCTGGGAGCTGGCAAGTATAATGGGAGGAGGAATTTGGGAGCAGTAAGCTACAAGGCAATGTGAGATGGTGTCAGCATGTTAAAACACACTTGATGGAAATCCAATGTTTTCCCCCCCCCCCCTGCTTCTCCACAGAGAGACCAGACTTTACAGATGCCATTATTCTACGGAAAGGGGCCTCTGTGGAGCATGTGGTAATTTCTCTGCATCTTTTACATTTCCTTGTCTGTAGAAGGTGGGTTCCTCTTGGAGCCTGCTATGATTTGTGCTTCATAAAGCTTGGGATATGTCAGTATTTAGTTGGGCTTCTCCTTTTGTTACCTTTACTGATTCCATCTGCCTCAGGTTTCTTTCCTAGCTGCTATGAAAGGTTAAAAAAAAATTTTTATTTTAATACAGTCCAGTGAAGAAGCACATGGAAGCAGTGGAACGGGGCTTTATGTGGACTGGTGATTCCTGTGTGTCTGTTCTGTGTTCTTTCAAGTGCTGTTAACTGGCTTCCAAAGTCACTATTGTAATTTCTGACATAGACCCGAGTTGCTTCTAGTTCCTGGATATTGAGCAAGTTGTTTGCAAAATAGTGTCATTGAACTGCCTCACATGCTGTCTGTCTGTCTTGCAGTGTCATCGAATTCACAGATCATTAGCCAGCCAGTTCAAATATGCCTTGGTGTGGGTAAGTGTTTAACAGCAAATGAAATCCCTGTCCTCGGTTGTCCCTGTCTGGTCTTTTCCTAACCCTCTCCCCCTTTTGCTTTAAAGGGGACAAGCACAAAATACAGCCCTCAAAGAGTGGGCTTAACCCATATGATGGAGCATGAAGATGTCATTCAGATCGTAAAGAAGTAACTCTGTTTGCTGGTGCCTGGCCTTGTCTTTAATCGCTAGAATTGGAACTGACCACATAAAAGCAAAACAAAACAAAAAAAAGAAAAAAAAAAAAGAAAAAGGGAGATGTGTTCTACAGCCAAGAAAGCAAGAAAGCTTCCGTGAAGCTCCTTCTCTTGGAGAAAGGCAGAAAATGAGGCTACTGTACTTGCAGGTGGGGATGGGGAAGATGGGTTTCCATCTTGCAGCATTTCAGGCGAAGCAGTGTTTCTTAAAAATAAAAAAGGAGCCAGTTCTTCTAGGACACAGTTCCCACAGCCAGCAATGTCCTGCCCCTAGTAGGGTTTGCACATGGATCCATGTGTTAACCTACCAGTGGCTTGCTTAACCAGTGGGAAGTTTATGGGTTTGTGTGAACAAATCTGGCCCTGTGCTTTGAGACAGGGAAGCCAGGGCTGAGAGAACGTTGCTGATGCTTTGCTGCTTATCCATTCACTTAATTTAAGCATTGATCTGAAACAGAAACAAAGTTCTCCCTCCCCTGCTCGTGGACACGTTGTCTCTGCAGCTTTCACCGTTGGAGACTTCAGTCTCTGCATCTGAGACAACCCCCAGTGAATTTGTAACGGTCCCACCTCAATTAACATTAAAACGTTGCACTCTGTGCCTCTCCTTAGCTCTGCAGTAGGGTTTGTAGGACATCCTGGTCCAACTGGTACTGAGGGAGATGAGAAATGAAACCTTGTTAACGAGTAATTAACCTGACCAAACTGCAGCAGGGTACGATCAAAGAGCCATAGACTGCAGTGAGGATTCCATTCTAGCATATCACTCGTCGAGGAGCTGTCTTGGGAGTTTCCTCCCTTGCTCTTGTTCTGCCTGTAGTCCCCAAGAGTATTGCTGGGGATCTCCTCCTTTCTCAGTCATGCCCCTAAATTCCAGTAACAGCTCTTTGAGCTCAAAGTACCATCCCATGCCATGGGTTTTACCCCAGCCCTGTTAAACATTGTTGCTTGTCTGAATATTTGTCATCAGAAATCTGGGATTTTTCTAATCATGCTTTCTCATTGAATACTGATGCTAAACAATTCAGAGTGCCTGATAGAGAACAGCTCTTTCCTTCTGGGATCAAGAGTTGCCAATAGCTTTTATTTTCTTTCATTGAAAAAGGGTTCGGTCTGATGTGGATTCTTAACTGTGAGGACAGGTCTGATCGCAAACTTGTCTGAGCAGGGTTCCTTCCCTCTCCTTTGTGCTCCTCCCCACCCCTCACAAACCGATCGAGCAGAAATGGAAGGATTATTTTATTTGAGAAAATAAAAGTTGCTATTTCATGTGAACTGTAGGTGTCTGCCTGCAGTGGGTAGACCGTTTGGTGTGTTTTCTAACTCTCTTTTTTCACCTTCGGCCACCTGAGGAATCCTGCTTGCTGTTGCAGGAGGTTGTAGAGGGGAATGGATTGTGAAGTGACTGCAAGAGGGCTCTGAGGCTGGAGGGGGCTTGATGAGGTGTGATGGGGGATAAATAGATATTATACACAATACCCAAGCTAAGAAGGTGACTTTGAACTCTGTAAGTTCCCTTCCCTGTTCCTGGCTTTGTTCACAGCTGGAGTGCAGAGCAAATCCCGACCGCAGTGGCAGCTAGCGGGGAATGAGCTCCAAATTAGCCGCATTATGCCTGAGCTGGCTGTAGAAAGCAGGCACTTCTCTGTGTGAATCGGGTGGGATGCTGTTCCAGCACATTAACTTGCCCTTTAAATTTCCTGTGAAGGTTGCACAGGCAGAGCTGCCTGCACAAAGAGTTCTTCTGGTTTCATTTTGTCCCTGAGTTTCTGACTTTTCGCTCCAAACCCAGGAGCCTGCCAAGCCCTGGCACGCGACCGGGCAGGCAGAACTGCTGACTGGGCTTCGTCCTTAGGCCAGGTAGTGTGTGGAGTTGGGGAAACGGTTGATGCTTGCGCGAGGCTGAAATGCACAGTATTGCCTGCTAAAACATGTCCTTGGTTAGTTAGTGCCTACCTCTCAGTGTGTTCGGGTTTCAAATTGACTAGTCTAGCATGCCATCGTTAAAAACCCCTCTGTCTAATTAGCCTTACTCTTCATTTAGGAAATTGGGCATTTTATCCTGTTCAAAATGAACTGATACATGATGAAATTTGGAATGGGGATGAAGTAAAAATAGTGAAGCCAGAAGAAGCTAACTTCTTTTTTTAGTGAGAGTAGCTTTTTTGCAAGCAAGTTTATAGCTGTATTTGAAAATACATGCATTTAATTGCAGTGTTCATTCTTCCAGACGGCTTCCCTAATTGTTCTGCACTAACGTTAAAAGCTGCAGACGTTGCAGTTCAGCACAGGAGCAGGTTTGCCTGAAGATATCCCCGAATCCTGAGAAAGCAAGGTCCTAAGGGCAGGGTGGGAATCTACTGCGGCATTAGGATTGTACCGGAGCTTCCTGAGGTTTATGGAATTGGTCAGACCCCTCGTTAGCTCTGTGGGGGAGTTAGCGAAGGGAGATGTGCTCAGAGCCTCCTTGCAGAGTGTTTTTGGAGAAGGGGTTTCTTCTGTCCAGGAGGATGGGGGAGAGTTGCAGGCAGGAGCTGTTGGGTTGCCCCTCGAAGAGCAGCACACTGCATTTTCGCCGCGGTACAAGGGAAGGCTTGGCTGGACGACGCTCGGAGAAAGCCGCCGTTGGCAGCCTGGCTGGCGGGCTGCTCTGCTGCGCTGCAGCCCCCTGCCATTCCTCTGCTCTTTCAGCCGCCTCCAGTTTCGTTAGCACCGTACCCCGATCCCAGAGGGCTGCACTGATCCTGCCCTGTCCCTGGGCCTGCCTTGCTTGCGGTGTGTGGCCGTGCATCGCTGCTGAGCGGCGCTCCAGGTGTGAAGCGGGGTGGATCGGCTTCGATACAGTCCATCAGCCACCCTCCATCTAGTCCTGGAAACAGTGACGGCCCGAGGCGTGCTCTGTTTAAAATGCCTGTTCCAGGCAATCAAGCAGGTTTGATTGGCTGAACACTCCTTTTATAATTTAATTTAGTCAGGAATCGTTTGCAAGGTAATAAAAAGAGACTCTGACTCCAAATACATTCATTTAATTCAATGAGAGACAGTTACTGCGGCGGGCTCGCCTCAGCCAGCTTCCCTCACCCCGTCACGCTGACATCTTAAAGTGCTGCTCAGGGCTGTATATAAGAGTCACGATCTGCAGTGACAGCTTAATTGTTTCAAATGCTGACAAGGGTCACCCCAACCAGGCATCGCGCATTGTGTGGGGCTGGCTCGGGAGGCTGCGGAGAGGAGGATTTATGGCTGGCAAATAGTTTTGAATTCCTCTGGTTGCGCCTGCTAAATGATGAACCTGCCCCTTGGGGATTGGGGCTATTGATTGTAATTTGCAGTTAAGCCCTCGCTTTCTGAGGAATCAGCATAATAAATACCCACCGCATTACGGCAGGGACGTGTCTGCACGGAGGAGAAGGAAGCGGAGGTTCTCCCGGCTCGGGCGGTGCAGCGCCTGGCTTTGGGAGAGCCGCAGGCTCCATTGCTGTAGGAAAACGGTCCCCGGTTTGGTGTGATGCAGGAACCCAGTGCTGGAGCGGGGACGATGAAGCTTTTCTGAGGCTCTTTGCCCTGCTGATCTCGGATGCTTTGTGAAGGCAGGTGGAAATGCCCTGCCCGTCCCGAGGAGGAGAGGGCAGTCCGGTATTGTCAGGATGATGCCATGGTCTAGATTCCTTCTCTGTGCCTGGCCTGGGAGCACTGGGAGAGCTGGTTGGTGCCAGCCCTACTTTGGAGAGGAGCGTAGGGGGTGACCACCCCCATGTCCCTGTGATTTCTCCTAAATTTGCCTTGGTTTGGGGACAGGAGGGGGTCAGGGGCACTCACCAGCTGTTCACATCTGGGGTTTGTGACAGTGAGAGGTGGTGCAGATCTATGTCCCGGGAGGGAAGGGGCTGCAGGACTGTCCAGCCACGTCACCGGGGAAGGAAGGGATGGGGACCAGGGAGGAAGGGATGGGGACCAGGGAGGAAGGGATGGGGACCAGAGCTGGCTGCCCTGTGCCCCTCCAGCCGCTCACTCCCTGATGTTCCCCCACCCTGCAGAGGGAAGATCAGCTCCTGTCCCTCCGCTCATGAGTGGAGATGAGAATAATAGCAGTCATCAAATATGCATTGGATAGCAGCAGCCTGCAGCTGCCACGCAGCAAATATGGTCCTGCGGCTGCCGGGGGAGTGACGGTCCCCGGCAGAGAGCGAGGCCAAGAGCACGACGCCGGCAGAGCCAGGGGCTTCAGGCAGTACCAACCGGTCCGCTGCCATGTGGGCGAGCTAGGCTACCCCAGGTGAGTGGCTGTGAGTCCCCCAGCCGGGTGGCACGTCCCTTGGGCTCGTGGAGGCCACAATGGGAAGGACCAGGGAGGGACCTTTGTGTGCAATGTTGGTCCTTATGCAAACACTGCGGCGTGGGGCTCGGCTCCTCCGGGTCAGGGCATACGGTGTCCTCTCATCTCTGGTTGTCCCTGCCTGTTTGCTTGCTGCCTTTAGACCCCTTATATCACCTTCCGACTTGCACCTTCCCCACAGTCCCAGCATTCTTGCTGCCCTCCAGAGCAGAGCTTCCTCCCCTAAACACCCCCTCCTTCCCCAGGAGTCTCTGCCCCATGTCTCCTACCACCCCTTCCCCAAATTCCTTTTACCTCGGGCCTGTTCTACCCTGGGAAAGCTGCCTGGCCCTGCAGCTGAGCCCTGCGGGGCCCCTGGGCTCAGCTCCAGTGCCGAGGCGATGGCGTGGGGCTGTGACCTGGCTCCGAGGCCGCCAGCCAGCGTTCCTGGGTGCACGCCAGTGCTAAGCCCAGGACGCCTCACGCCCAGCTGGTCTCTGCTTCCAGCATCTGCTCCGGTCTCTCTCCTCCTGATAACGCCTCCCTCACAGGCAGCTCTCGGTGTCAGGCAGCAGCCGGCAGGCAGGGACACGGTGTGCATCCCCCGGGAGATGTTGGGTCCCCATCCTCAGTTTGGGGGGGTGGAACTGGAGGGGCTGGAAATCAGCAGCCAGTTCAGGGGTGTGATGGGTGCTTGGGATGGCAAAGAGAGACTCCCCCGGTGCCTTGGGGGCTTGGAGGACCATGCTGCTGTCACATTGCCTGTTGCTGGAAGGATCCAGCCTGTCCAGGTGCTCCCGGCATCCCTGGGAATTGTGCCTGGAGCAGCGAGAGCTGTGGCGGGGCTGTTGCACCTGCACATGGGTGTTTAAAAGTGGATGCACAGTGATACAGAACTGATGCTGGGGAAGGGGATGTGATGAAAGATGCTGCAGCAGGCAGGTGCCTGGCCAGCTGGGCTGGCTCCATGGGGCCGTGGTGCAGAGCTCCTGCGAGGCACGGCAGCGGTGGGGCCGGCATGGCATGGTGCGGTGGCATGGAGCCCCGCTCCGGCTGTAACTGGAAACAGGCTGTAAGTGGACCCGGGGCCAGCTGGTGACCGCAGACCTGCCTGGAGACGGCGGAGCTGCCACCCCGGGAGCTCTGCCCTGCCAATGCCAGTGCTCCAAAGGTAGAGTCCCGGGCAGCCACGCGTTGTCCCAAGCTGGGGTGGGCAAAGCAGAACCCCGGTGGCCAAAGCCTCCCTCCTCTTTCTGCACCCAGCCCTGGCACGGCCCCGGGCTGCAGTGGTGGGACAGGGGCTGCCCTGGGGCGAGGTGGCTTTCCCTGGCTCAGCCACGTGGCTGGAGCCGTTCAGGGGTGATGGGGTCAGAGGATGCTTTGGGCATCTTCTCCCAGAGCCCCGGTCCCCATTGCCGCCCCAGGGAACCCCTCACTGCCAGGTTTTGAACCCAGGGTCCCTCCCCTATCCTGCTGCTGGACACGGCCATGCCCAGACACCCTGGAAACAGCCGCCAAGTGTGGGTGCCCCACAGTTTGGGGTTCATGGCTGTGGGTTCCCCCTCTGGCCCTCAGTGTCTGCCACCATCCCACTGCACCTGGGCAATGAATGCCCCTTCCCCAGCTCTGTTGTGCCAAAGGCAGGTGAACACTATGCCCATGGATGGAGAACCCGGGGAGGTGTGGGGGGGTCCAGTATGGGGGCTGGGACCATGGAAGGCAGCCCCTGTGTGGGATGAAGCCTGCTGGGCTGAGGCCAGGCTGCCTGCTCTCTTCTCTCTTGCTCTCCCTTCCTCCACATCTCCTCTCGGAGAGCCCTTATCATGGGCAGGCACGGCAGGCACAGCCATGGCAACAGCATGGGGAGCCGTGCCAGCGCAGCAGGGCACGGAGAGCACCATCGGTCCGTCCTCTGCCCTGCCTAGCTTGGCTGAGGCTGGCGGGGACAGAGGTAGGGACCGGCGAGGGCAGTGGGATGGAGGTGGGGATTGTGTAGGTGGTGGGACAGAGGTGGGGACCTGCAGCAGCTTCTCACCAGCTGGGTACCTCCTTGCTCACTGCCAGCAGGTGAGGGAGGGCCTGTGCCCATGTCCATGGTGGCTCCCCACCACATCGTGGTGCCCGGGTGTTGCTCCGTGCACTCGTGCCAGGAGGAGGGATGGCACAGTGGTGTGGGCCAGGCACCTGCACCGCGGGCAGGAAAGGCTTCATCAGCCCCATACGGCATGGTGGTGATGGCAGACCTGTGCGTGGACCATGCCAGTGCCATGGAGGGGCTCCTGTGAGGTGATGCTCCCTGTGTCACTTGGGCTCTGCTGATGCTCTTTCCCACTGATCCCACGCTTGTGTCACCCTATAGACCCTCTCCTGATACCTGCCGGGTGCCTCCCCTCCTGCTCCGTCCCTCTGCTCTCCCTGCAGCTGCAGGGCAACCTCCCTCTGTGCAGACCCCACTGGGGTGTCTCTGGCCCAGAAATTAATGCAGGGAGGAGACCAAAGCCATCAGAGGCTGATACTCAGTCTGCTGCAAACATGGCAGGGAGGGACCGGGCTGGCGAGAAGAGAGTGCCGTAGGGTGCCAGCCATGGGGCTCTCCTGGTCCTGGGGGAGGTCAATGGGTTTGGTCCAGCGACTGCTGCTGGTTCGTGAGTTCCCCCAGCTGCTGCACAGCTGGATGCTGCTGCTGCTGCTGCTGCTCCTCCCCTGGGTCTCCCCAAATACCCCCTGCGAGGAGGTGGAGCGGGTGCTGCCCCTGTCTGCCAGCAGCCCCTGCCTGCACTGGTCCTGCCACTGCCCACAGGTGAACTGTGCGGGGCAGCAAGTTCCCACCACTGCTGCTTAAACTTTCATGAACCTGCAGCCGCAGGAATCCAGCCCTGGCATTAACATTTGATGTGGTCACCCTGCGCCTGGGCACGGGTGTGTGCAAACATGCTGTCGGCACTGCCATGGGGCACACGTGTGGCACGTGCAAACCCCCTCGACAGTTGTGTGTGGGCACATGTGGCACCCTGCACGCACAGACAACGCGCATGGCATGGCATGGGGGGTACCCCCTGGGCTCCTGGCTCCTCTCTGCTTCCCAGTGGGGCTGTGGGATTTGGTCTGGTGTTGGGTTCCTCCTCTGCAGTGCTCCCCTTGGCCGTGCTCCCAGTGCCGGGGTGGCGCGTGCCTTGAGCTCTGCAAAATTGTCTCCTCTCTCTTGGTGCTGCAGTTTGGCTTTATGGGGCCAAATGGGTCCCTGGGCTTCGTCCTCCTACGTGCTCGCCAGAGGAAGAGGCTGAATCCCCAGGGGAGAGCACAGGGAGCCCCGAGGCATGGGGAGGTGGCAGGGTCTGGTTTTGGGGTGGTGACAGTGCTCTGTGCTGTCCCCTGCAGCGTCCCCTGGGGGGATGTTCCCTGCCATGGGAGCCCTTTCCTGCTCCTTCGGAAAAGTCTTTGGGCTGGAGCAGCACATCCCTTACATTATTGATGCTGCTGCAAGCCCTGGCGGTTGGGTTACAGCCAGAGCCCAGCCGCCGGCACCGTGCTGCCTAACTCGTGGGGTGCCGTGGGAGGCAGGAGGCAGTTCCTGCTGGGCTGCGCCGGGGCTGCCGTCCCGCCGCCCCAGCACCATGCCAAGTGAGGGGCCACCGGCGGCCAAGGGAGCCACGCACAAGCACGTGCCTTGCCGAAACCAGGCGCAGGTAAATACCCTCCCGGGGCAGGCTACGGGGTTGGGAGCCAGACAGCGTGCAGGGACCTGCCTTGTGCCGGTGCGGGGCATCATCTCCCAGAGCCCTGCTGGGGCCAGAGCATGAGTGTCCGCCACCGCCGGGATGGTTGGCAAGAAGGGGGAGCCCAAAAAAGATGCGGAGGCCAAAGGAAAGGGGGGCAAAGGGAAAGGGAAAGATGGCAAGAAGGGCAAGAAGGAGGCACCCAGCGAGTCGGAGGAGACCTCGGATGTGGAGCTGCTGAAGGCAGAGGAGAGTGAGGAGACGGAGGCAGTAGAGGAGGAGAAGGATGAGGAGGAGGCGGCGGCTGTGGAGGAGACCAAGAAGGGCAAGGGGAAGGAGAAGAAGGGGGTGCTCAAGGGGGTGGTGGCGAAGAAGCCAGGCCGGGGGAAGAAGGTGACGCTGGAGCCGGAGGAGGAGGAGGGTGAGAGCGATGCCGTGCCGGCCAAGAAGAACCTGAAGGGCACCTCCAAGCTGGTGATGGGGCTGGCAGCTGATAACACCAAGAAGAAGAAAGGGGCCAAGGGTGCAGAGGCCAAGGGCCAGCCCAAAGCATCTGCGGAGCCTGGCCTGGCCGAGGAGGAGGCGGCAGCGCCAAAGGCCCGGGTGAAGCGGAGCCTCCGCAGCACCTCGAAGCTCTTCCTGGGCTTCAAGAAGCTGGGGTTGCGTCGGCCCAAGAAGGGGCAATTCAAGAACACATCCCGCTTCTTCTGGGGGCTGCAGAAGCACAGCACCAAGAGGAGGAAGAAGAAGAAGAACAAGGCGGTGCTCAAGTCCACCTCCAACCTCATGGTTCGCTTCAAGCGCGTGGGCAAGAAGAGGAAGGAGGCAGCCAGCAGCACCTCACCGGCAAAGCCGTCCTTCCTGCTGCTGCGGCGGGGTGGGCAGGCGGCCGAGGATGGCACGTCCCTCTTCCGCCGGCGCCCGGAAAGGAAATTCAAGCCGCGGGCGCAAGTGTTGAGCAAGGCAGCCGCCGCCACGGGCTGGCTGGCCAGGAAGGTGCTCTCCCAGCGTGGGCGGCTGGCGGGGGGCGGCCGGGCAGCCGACACGGCCTGGCTCTCCCGTATCGGTGCCAGGAAGCTGCCATTCCCCGCAGAAGATGAGATCCTCAGGCACCGGGCCAACATGAAGCGGATCCCTGGCGGCAGCGGGCTGTCGGGCCCTGGCGCTGCGCGGCACAGCCAGGAGAGGCACGGCAGCATGGTGCGGCGCCCATCCCGGCGGCGCTCCCAGCACGCACCTGCGGATCTGCCAGTGCCACGCTATGGGTGGGCCGAGGAAGAGGACGGAGCCTACAGCTGCCGGCGTGGCTATGCCAAGAAGGAGGATGGAGCCTATGGCTCCCAACGTGGCTACACCAAGGAGGAGGATGGAGCCTATGGCCTCTGGCATGGCTACACCGAGGAGGAGGATGGACCCTACGGCCCCCAGCATGGCTATGCTGAGGAGGAGGAAGGCTACATCCAAACCCCAGCCTACCCGGCAGGGTATGGCTTCAAGGATGCGGTGCCAACCCCCTATGCCGACTACCCCAGCTACGAGGCGGAGGAAGAGTACGGCTTCTACGGGGGGTTTTGGGAGGAGGGTGACCCACCAAGGCACCCCTATGGCTACGTGGAGCTTGAGGATGAGAGACCGTTTGGTGGTGGGTCCCCCCTCACCCTCTACGATCCTTATGGCAGTGACCCAGAGTACGGCGAGGAGATGGCAGGGCCCATTGGCTATGGGAGGGACCCCTACGAGGACTTTGGGGAGCCCCTCACTGGGGGGTACCCAGGGGGCGAATACCCTGAGCATCGCATCCAGTACAGCGAGGGGGGGTGGGCACCGCATGCCCAGTCCTCTTGCAACCCCTACGCCCTGGCCCTGGAGGAGATCACCGAGGCCGAGGAGCCCGAGGAGTGGGAGGAAGAGGAGGAGGAGGATGGGGCATACCCCTTCTCCATCCTCAGTGCCTCCTCGCTCCGGGGTATGCGGGAGACGCTCTCCTCCAAGCTCTCCCTCAATAGGAAATTCAGGCTCTTCCCTCGGCCCCAGGTCAAGCTTTTTGGCAGGGACCGCCTGGACGTCCCCCTCCCACCATCCCCCCACCTGCCCACC